TGTAAAAAATAAAATAAAAATAATAATAAATAAGCAAATAAAATGAAAATAATGTAATGAACATCAATATAAATATAAATTTTATTTAATCGAATGAAATTTTTATAATACCATCTCAGGCTCTTGCAAAAAAGCAACCATATCTTCGATCCATTGCGAACATTTATTATGCATTAAGGACACACCGTTTATTGACAGTGTTAAATTTGTTTCTTTTGTATTCACATCAATATCAAGTGAAATGAGTGCGATTAAAGAAATCATGGGACGGGTATTCTTTGCCTGTAAATGTATGCAACATTAAATTAATCAGTCAAAATATTTCAACAGAAAAAAAAGTTTTTTACAAAGTTTTACCTTAATACCCTTGCTTAATGTTCGGTATAAAATTTGCGTTTTTTCACGGCTGGATGTATCCCAAAAAGTAAATTGATCGTTATCCAAGATTACATACGTGTCATTCTATAAAAGACAGAATTATTAATTTGTAATATGAAACTATATGAAATAAAATTATGTAAAAAACATACTTTGCCTTCATATTTGACTACCGTGAAGAACCTAAAATCTGACATATTAAGCTGATACGAACGTAATGACTGTGTTTGATCGACTTTTTTCTCTGCCTCATGTACTATGGTAACTTCAACTAAAACAAATGTAAATATTAAATTAAAAGCTATTAAAGCTATTGACATAATGCATGTAAGTAAACGACATTATAAACTTTACCATTAGTTATAAAAACGACCAATGATGCGAGACTTGGCCTTAAAGGTAACGTGTCATCCATACGATACCCTAACATAGAGGCCTCAAGTCTCCTTTTCATTTCGGAATCGTCAGATTCATGCGAGTCCATGCCATATGCTCTATCTTGATGGGATTTCACATCGTATCCACCAATCATATTTGTACGTGTCGGTGGTGTGGATGAAATTTCATTGTTGCCCGGACCATTATTTTTAGGTTGCCAAATTGATAAATCATTTAACAGAATTTGAAGTTTGTCATACATTGACTTATTTAGACGAACGCGTATAAGAGGAAAATTACAATTGATGACAAAAAGCTACATATAGAGTTTTATAAATATATATATTGAATCGAAGTTTTAAAGGATGATTATCGATGAAATAAATGTGCTTACTGAGCTTTCAATCGTTCTCTGTTTAAACATTAAAATTTCTTCTTCTTCGTTTTCAACGGGCCAATTCGTCCGTTCTTCCTCAAATGTAGTAAATGTTTGTGAGAAAGGTGAAGATCGGATACCATTCCCTATATATGACATTTTGTTTGCTACTGCGCTAGCAGGACGATATGTAATTTCGCAATTAGGAAACACAGTAGCAACCTGTGTTATAGATCGATGATATATCGGTGGCACTTTTACAGCCTTTACTGCAAGGAAGCACTTCGCATCTGGCACTATATTTACAAAAAAATTATATTTAAAGATTAACCGGTAAAAATTTTGCATACAAGCATTAAATTTTTATAACTACCTTTGTGTTCTTTAATAAAGACATTAATGCCATTACACTCAATTTTAATCCTATTTTGTTGCGGATCAACTATGTTTCTAACTGTTTCGTTATGTTGTTGTATGCCAAAATTTGATGAAAAAAGTGAATCATTTTGAAGTGCATTGACAGTAGAAATGTTTATATTAATTATATCTGTGATGAGTAAATTTGAATGAATGATATAATCATCCACTACGCTTGGTGTGTTCCTGCTACTTATATCTGGACAATGAAGCCAAATACGAATTAGCTGGCAGTTAATTACAAGGTTTGACTTTTGCACAGAAGTATTCTGAAATATATATATATATACAATAAATAAGAAAATGAAATTTGAATGCGTCTATATGAACGATGTAAAAAGCTAACCTCGTGCATTCTTTGTGTGTCAAGGTCATCAATGATATGTTGACTGGAAGATTGCTCAGTGAAAGAATGCATTGTTGTAGTTTCCACTTCAGAAAGTGAACCAGTATCATTTGCACTTTTAGAAAGAATACTTATGTAATTTTCTAATCGATCAATTATTCTTAGATCAAGGTGCACATGGAAAGGTTCAAATTCTACATTGATACTGGAAGTAATGGCATTATGTAAGACAGAGTTTGACAATGATCCTAAATGTCAAGAGAATTACCAAAATTAGAATAAATATGAAAGAAATATTAAAAAGTTTACAATATACCTTCAGCCGAAGCACCACCACTCTTAAATTTTATTTTAATGACCTCTTTTAAAGTATCGCTCCCATTGAAACTAAATTTAGAACTTATTCTGTTAGCTTTTTTCAAAACACTTTTATCTGTATTTTTGTTTACAGGAAAACTAGGAAAATCTGTTTCTTCGGTATCATAAGAGTTCAAAAGATGCGGATCAAAGTATAACAATGGTGTATATTTGTCAAAGGAAGGAAGTGTAGATTCAGGTTTCAATGTATCCAATTTAGGTTTGGAATTTGAGGTTAACGGATTTTTCAACCATTCAGATATTGAAAATTGTGAAATAGCAATGTCCATTACAAAACTTGAGACGTCATCAACTTCTGAACTTCTTTGAAATCCAGATGAGTGGCCACCAATTGACGTACTACTATTCCGCCTCTTACCCACTGATAATGCATCTGGATCCCAACGTTCAATCTGACAATTCAAGCCACGAATGTTAATTTTCAGATGATCCATATTTAAATATTCAGTAGATCGAATGTCAAAAAATTTTCGTCCAATATCAAAATTAGGTAATGAATCGTGGTATAATAAAAACAACTCAATTAAAGATACTTCAAGTTGGAATTTTATGTTGGATACACCAGAAGATATTGTAGGATTAAGTTGTGGAACAAAATCATCATGTTGGAATTTTATGTTGGATACACCAGAAGATATTGTAGGATTAAATTGTGGAATAAAATCATCATCACTTTCAGTGCTGCTTGTTTCTGAAACGGATTTACTTCTTGACAACAAATTTGCCAAATCAGTAATCCATGCGACATGACTTGGTGTCAATACAGAAATTACCGATTTAATTGATCCCTCGATAATGAAAGATTGTGTACTATTGGCTTGTTGTATAGCTTCTTGTGTGTAATGATACGAAGACGAAGGATTACTAAGATCAATCTGAATTGCTGGAACGACATCCGGACGTATTGTAACTTTAATCCAATTCTCCTCTTCGGGACATGAAAGAATCATTGCTTCATAAGCTTTCTGAGGAAATAGTTCATCGTTTAGAAGATTTGTATAGTCTTTTGTTCTATTTGATGATTCAAAAACATTTTCATCTAAATTTGGTTGACTATTGGTTGGATCTAATTCAGGCAACGCTTCTCTGATCCAAACACTTAGCCCAGAAATAGTAACTGACTTTACAGTTTCAGAAAGCGCAGGTGGTAGCGTTACACTTGCAGAACCAGAAGTGTTTGATTGAGTTGATTCATCTTCTAACCCAGGAGTTTCATCTCGAAATGAAATAATTGGTATCTCTAAATCAAGATTATATTCTTTCGAACACTCAACATTATTTAAGTTCTTATTAGGAGCTAGTCGAATACAAGTATCCTTAAAAACTATTTTTACATTCGACATGAGCTTATCAATCAATCTTGCTAAAATCTGGATGCCCTCAATACCAGTGTCTCCCTGTACAGGAGTTTGTTGACCAAAAGTTTCTGACTGGTCCAAGCCCCCACCTAGATCATTACCATCCTGTTGAAATACAATACTCCCGTGAACTGATTGAGAAATAGAGTTACGAAGTTCTTCGTCTTCATCAGGAGGTATTTCATGACGAAGGAAATCACCCGCAAAATGAATAGAAGAAGAAAGTATGTGAGAGTCTTCAGGAGAAGCTTTTGCTAAAAAAAATACCGAATAATAAATATTAAATACAACTATAAACATTATTGTATGTTCACTTTTAATTTTAGAAGCAAGTTACCGTTTCTGGGCTTGACGTGCTCGGGAACTGCTATAATTTGCAAATTATGAAATTCCAAAATGCAATCACAATTCCAAATATTTTTCCATGGAATTTTTGCGACGATTCCGCCTATTCGGCCGTCAACGATTACCACTGGTAAATCAGCGACGAGATCATTTAAAACCTATCACAATCAAGAGAAGTAACTGTTAATATAGCTTTTAATTAAAAGGGAATTGAATAAGATCCAGTGCATATTTCTCAAATTAGAAAGTTATATCGCGAAAATAAGTACCTCTACATTGAGTTGTAGCTCTTTTAAATGAATCAGACCATTTCCTAATTGAACTTCAAGATTATCAAGGTCAAGTTCTTCAGCGAGGAATTGACCTAATGCCCTTTTAAGTAGAAATTTGAGGAGTCTCTTTTGGATCGTCGCGGGAACATTGATACTCAAGCCCCAGCCACTAAACGGCCAGCCTTTGTACATGGTTTTTTAGTGTAAAAGAAAAAGAAATATAAGTAGTATTATCGAGTTCTATTGACCAAAGTTGATATTATAAAGTCAGATTAATAAAGTCACATGATAATTTGAAATGTTATTGGGCGCAGCATTACCAGCTGCGGCTTCGGCGAGCCTAATACTAAAGAATTCCACCAAAAGCAGTGTTATATGTATGGTATGCGGCACAGATTAAAAATTACACCGATATAGCATCAAGATCCGAGTAGTATGTTACATTCCATACATTGCAGCGATTTCTGCTTGCATCAGTATAATATTTTGAAGGGGGAAACAAAGACTTTGGTCGAAGATATCTCGACAAGCATCTGATCAAATTCGATGAAATTTTTTTTATTTGGTTTTATGAGTCTAGAGGATTCAAATAAAAAAAAAAATTATCAAATTTGGTCAAGTGGTTGTCGAAATAACTTCGCTCAAAGTTTTTAAAAAAAACTTTAAAACTTTGAGCGAATCTCAACAACTACCTGACCAAATTTGGTAAATTTTTTTTATTTGAATCCTCTAGACTCATTGAATTAAAATAAAAAAAATTCATCAAATTTGATCAGGTAGTTGTTGAGATATCTTCACTCAAAGTTTTGAAAAAATTCAAAACACCTATCAAAATGAAGCTGCGCCAATTTTTTTTTTAAACCTTTGAGCGAAGATAATATCTCAACAACCACTTGATCAAATTTGATGAATTTTTTTTCATTTGAATTCTCTAGACTCATAGAATTCAAATACCGTACAGCGCGGACTATAGTACCCCACATCAAAATACCCTCTATAAAAATTTTTCGCAGTTGAATACAAAATACCCGGGTATTAACTATGTAGAATATAAGTCACTCTCATTATAGTGAAGTGATCGGGCTGTGAGATTTTCTTCATTATACCGAGAGTCTATTAGTAAATCAATATCGAGAAGGTTTTTATATAAACTGCTCTTCACTATAATAAGTTCACTATAACGAGAGTGACTTGTATATCATTTCTATGTAAAATACACCTCTTATATACTACTAGGATTTTAGCTGTGGAATGCAGTAAAAAAAATTCAAATTTTATCAATCAAAGTTTGACGCAGCTAGGCATTTTGAATTTGTTCAAAACTTTGAGTGAAGATATCTCGACAACTACCTGATCAAATTTGATAAAATTTTTTTTTTTTTTTTTTTTTTGATTGTATGAGTCTAGAGGATTCAAATAAAAAAAAAAATTATCAAATTTGGTCAGGTGGTTGTTGAGATATCTTCACTTAAAGTTTTAAAGAAATTTAATATAATTATTTTGATAGGTGTTTTGAGTTTTTTTTAAACCTTTGAGCGAAGATATCTTGACAACCACTTGACCAAATTTAATATATATATATTTTTTATTTGAATCTTCTGAACTCAGTATCAAAATAAGAAAACTTTTATCGATGTTAGGGGGGTATGAATAATAAATGTCACGGATTATTGTGAAATCGGATTATTGTGAAATTTGGATCTATTTTATGTACGATTTTTAAAAATTTTTAGGGCCTTTTTTGTAGGCTTTTTTTTTATAGTTA